CAGGGTCTCAAGGTAATAAACAGAAGATTCATTCTGATTCTAAGGTTTGCACCAGCTTCTAAAAGCAGGATATGTCCAGAGAATATTTCATAAGAACAGCCAGGGTATTCATCCAGATACATGTGCATGAAGAGAGAATAGCACAGCCCTTGCTGACAAGGTTGACATCTATGGGCATAGACAGTTTTGTTTCAGTCATAATGTTGGGCAGGCAGTCCTTTGCAGCATTTGAAATACACCCTAACTTCTGGATACTGTTTAGACTTGCTCTGTCACTCCCAACACTTGAAGCAGACACAGCGCAGAAATGTCGGATACCATCTCCCTGAATGCAAGTGACTCTGATTCAAAGACGCAGATTTGCTCTGGGGGATAGAGAGCCATTCTGTTGCTTAGCAATATCACTCCTGAAATTCTCCAGGGATGGGATTGCCATATGTAATGACAGGGTAGGGAGGAAGCCACCTCTGTTCCAAAGGCCCAGGTCTTTAGCGGATTGAGATAAGGGAAGGGCTCATTTCATGTGAGTCCAAGGCTGTGTTCTCTCTAACAGAGACAACTTTGTAATCAAAGTCGCTCATAAACGCCACTCAGCTTACTTTCGCTTCTAGTCCTCTTGTTTGCTGCAGGTTCCTATGGAGAAGGCACTCACCTTTACCTAACGTGAACAAATAGTAGCTTAGTTTCCAGCTCCCTCCCACTGCTTCATTCTGCCCCAGGTGGAATTTAAAATTTAGCTACTTGCTTTGACTTTACCTCGACTCAAAAATAAAACAAAATAAAAAACTACATTTTTTGTAACACAAAAAAAAACAAAAGGAGGAAAAAAAGGAAAGAATAACTAAGAAATGGCCAAAGGTGTTTTCTCTGTGTAATGGGGATTGATGAAGCCTAGAAGTAAATTAATATTAATATGGCCTAGAACTAAAAACTGAAAGTGATTTCCATCTTTTCAAACTGCTGAATCCATGTCCTGTTTTTAATAGGGACAATAGAGAAGATCAGAAATGTGTTGAGGCCTTGGTGAGAGGGCTCCAGGTTTGATTTTCCCCGAAAGGCACATGAATATGGATCAGTCAACAGAGCTGTTTTCAGCCAAGCCAGCTGCAGACATAGAAAGTGATCCATTTGTCCTTATTTCATGCAGCCCTTTACCAAGAGGCAAGGTGCATTGTCTCTGGAAATGCCATGCTTGGGTCTTCTGGCTTCTCCTTCTCTGTCTACACTATTACCAAGCTGTGCCCCAACTTAGTTTTCTTGAGATTAGTCACCTGTGAAAATTGCAATGTGTGTTACATTTTGCCAGCTTCTGACACCTAAATGATGTTTTATTTGAAAATGCCTTTGAATTGCTTTATTAAAAAACAGAAAGTTCCTATGTTTGGCACCTTCCCAACCTTCTACCTACTTCACTGTTTTGTCTGCTAGCCTACGAAGTGTGCATTTGGACAAGTGCACAAAGAATCATATTTCTTAGACGTCTAGATCCTGGACTTGGAAAGGAATATGTTATCAGTATTTTCAGGTGATTTGGCTCACACAGTGTTGCCAAATGTTTCTCCATGAACATGGAGACAGTGGTAGGACAGCAAATGCAGGTGTGCTTTCCTTTAAAACATGGGAATAGGTCAAAGGGGTCCCTTCAGAGAGTGCATCTGAGTTAAACTTAACTGTAGCGTATTTTAAGATAATCTAGTGCCAATGAATCCCTTTCCACTATTCAAAAGAAGTGTTTCATGCTTTAGCATCGTGGGCCATTTCTTCACACTGACTTCTGCCTCTCTCCAGATAAGAACTTAACAATCCCATGAACTCTGAGGGCCCAATTAGGACTTTCCAATACCTCCATCCTAGGACATCTGTTTGAATTCCACAAGTCCCACAATAGCTGTTTCCTATGAATAGCTTCCCCCACTTGGAACCTTGCAAATAGCCTGTACTGAGGGGGCTGTGATTGTCTCATTTCCATTGCTAATGGCAGAATTTGTTCCACATGCAAGTGCATCATTTTCAGGTCTTACCAGTACTTCCTGGAAAGGAGAAAAAAAATAACCACTCCCCCGCCCCTTTCTTTCCTTGAAATGGAAAATTTCCTCGTGTCAAATACATGTCAAACCCAAACAGAGCAATGTTTGTATGTGTGCACACACGTGTCATCTGTCTTCAGACTCTGGAGGAGCTGGTTACAACTGTGGAAGTCTAGAACCCACTGTACTCTGACAGGCTCGCTGTCTATAGAGTTGGCTGTGCTTTTGCAAGTGACCTGCCCACAGGTCCCAGCGACGTCACGTAAGCAGAAAGTTCTCTTGCCCTTGCCTCCCAAAAATAGGACTTTCATGCAGTTTTATTTCAAAAATTATCTGAAAAACAGCAAACTAGTAATCTACTTAGATACTCTTGCCTCCTTGATGGCTCTAGTTCCAGAGAGCTGATAATGACTTTGGTGAGTAATATACAAATCCCCGTTACGCTCAAATGTTTAAGACACCAGATCTAAACTCAATGGACATGAATAATCATTTCACCCATGCCATAACCAATGAGGTAGAAAGTATTTCTGGGAAACTGAGAGGCCACATGTGGTGCGCTTCATGTTAAGGCTATTTATAGGCTGATCCAAAATTAAGCATAAGCAGTGGAAAAATATAGTCCAGTGCCTCAATCTTAGGTAGATATTAAAGGAGAGAGAGAGAGAGAGAGAGAGAGAGAGAGAGAGAGAGAGAGAGATACAGGGGCAAGGAGATCAGGCAGCAAAAGTGAGGGAATCTGAATTGTTTTGTATGTAGGAAATAGCTCCAGTAGAGCATGGGAGAAACTCGATAAAGGGACTTGGGAAGAATAAATGAGAATCACAGTGTCCCATAGGAGGGTCATTGGCTCTCAGTGAAAATGTAAGCTTTTGACAAAAGACAGGACATAGCAGAAGAAAAGGTGCTGGGTGAGAGAAGTCTGCTAATGAGTGCTTAGGCAGCTATTCCCCAGCTGACGCCATGCAGACCAGTCCCAGAGTGCTCTGGGCACAAGTTGCTATGTGAGTCCTATTGCTGCAGAGCAACCTCTGTGAAGCTCAGTAAACAGAAAGGGGGGGAGGGATCAAGTGGAGAGGGGGAGACACCCATTTATATCTACGTGAGTGCTGCCTCCAACATTTATACCCAGCAATGTTTGTGGAAACTCTAGGCACTTATGCATGCCAAGGACGACTTGTGTTCAGTAAACAAAAATTTACCTTGTTTAAAAAGCTTGAAATGGTCCAAAGTTCAGGTAAATATGGGATCAATCTTTTAGACTTCTCAGAAGTCAGAGAAGGACAGTTGACAAGTGAGTTTTGATAAGGAGTGTCTGAAAGGTGTTGACTGATTTGTTTAAGTAATTTCACAAAGGTGTGCAACAAATATCTTTACCAATATCAAGAACATAATAATAAAAGAATATCACAATATGGAGTTCTAGGCACAAAGCAAGGTGAAATGACCTTGACCGCAACTGCCACCATTTTTATCATACTCGAAGTAACCTATCTCTTTTCCGGGTATGGGGAATTTTTTTTTTCCTGCAGAATGAAAAATAAAAACTTAAAAATAAAAAGCCCAAGACTTGGTTGCGATCAAGACGAGGTGAACAAGCATAGTGGTACCCAAAGGGCACATAGAGCTGGCTGGCAAAAGGAACTATGACAGCCTATTAATGATTAATGTGAAGAGACCATAAATGACAAAGGGAAATATTAAGCCTCGTCTCCGCTTAACCAAAACAGACTTTCAAGTAACACCTGTATTTCATGACAGGTATATTTGGAGGTTGTGTAAACCTTTGGAAAGGACAGTCTCATCCAAGTCTCCACTGACAGACTGAACCAGATCCATTTCCTATCTTGGTTTTTCTTCCAGCCGTCCCAATGAATCCATGTTATGATGCAGTCTTTTTTTTTTCATAATCGTGTCTCTTTGATCACTGCTTCCCTAAAACCACACTGTCTTCAAATGAGGAATTTACACCATTATTACTAAGAATAGCAAAGTCCTTAGGGCAAACTGACATAGGATGGGAAAGTTTTTCGGTCTTGAGGCAAAAATCCAGCTCACGCTCACACTCTGTTTCTCAGCAAGGAATCTGAGACTCGACTCGAGATGCTCACTCTGGAGCTCTGACTCTGGAACTCTGTGCTGTATTCGAAGCAACGACACACACACACACACACACACGCACACGCACATGCACACACGCTATCCCCCCTCCACACACAGATGCCAAGGATCTGGATTAAGTGCTGAGTCTCGCAGTCAGAGACCTGCGCTCAAGAAGGACCTCCAATGCCCAATTACCTTCTCTTCCTCCCTCGAACCCCGTATAAGAGGAAGAATCCGCTTCAGTCTGGCGCTTGCCTCTCAACCCAGTATCTCGCTACAGCTGGTGCATTGGAAGTTATGAGCACAAACAGATGCTGCAGAGAAATCTGTTTCTATTGCTCAACTCTTCCAAGCATGTCTCAGTATTTTTAGCTCTGAAGATGTTCTGGTGCGCACACAAACTATATAGGCAGTGAGCCGGGACTCCAAAGCTTGCAGAGGAAAGCATTACAGCAGCTTGACAGATGGGCACCTCCAGAACAGTGGAGACAACAGGGTAGGGGACTGTGGCGCTAGTCCACTGCCCTACACACGCAAAGAGGAGAGGAGAGGGAAAAAAAAAAACCACTGAAGCCCTTACCTGTTGCTGGCACAGGATCATGGGACCATGGAGTGGAAGTGGGGTTACAGAAGCATGTAAGATCCAGTGGTTTTTGTGAAGGAGAGTGAGCCGAAGCAAGTGAGAATTCCTAAGACCCTGCTTGCCGGCGCCGGGAAGGCTGCGCGCTGGCCAGGGCTCCAGTGCGCTCTGCGATAGCCTGGGAGCTTTTGAGGCGGATCTTTGTGATAACCGGCCTTCTTGGCTCCGCCCCCTGTCCACTGCTGGCCAATCGGAGAGCACCTGGCTACACCGCCAGCCCGGGGAACCGCCACCGGGAGCGGGGAGGAGGGGGGAGGATCTTTACACCCGCGGCCCCTAGCTCTGCCAGCCAGGGAACCTGCGGTGGCTTCCTCTACCTCCTCCAGCTTCCTAGCCTGGTCTGAGAGTCCAGTTCAGGGCTGGGGAGGAGGAAGTCGCGGCCCAGCGGGGACAGCAACAGGTGGGAAGCTCAACCTCCAGGCCACTGCTAATTGCAGCCTGGCCTTGGGCAGAAAAGCTTCCTAGTGCGTCTCTGAGACCCACGCGCCCCAGTTTCTTTCCAGGGTGGAGGCCGGTTGTACACGTTCCTGTAAGGGCCTCGGAGGTGCCAGTGCCTGAGAAAGACGTCTGCAACCGGGAGGGAATGAATGATCACTGTGGTGTGTTTCCCTCTATCCCTTCTCCTGCATAGAGACCTTCGAAATCACAGCGCATTCAACAGCAACTCGCGGGTAATCCGCTAATTAAACAGCGAAAAGTGTCCAGGGACCCGCACTCAGTACCCAGCAAGATTTAGATGCGCACAAGCGTAGCGATGGCTTGTCTAACTGGGCTGTTTCTCTACCCGAACGGTGGTGAATTACTTACAGAAAGCGCCCGGACTTCTCGGGGGAGGGTGTGGAGGGAGGGGGGGGGCGCTGGTTCCTCTCGCCTTGTCCGCCCTCGATCTGTCGCCCCACCACCGCCTGGCACGCTCTGCTCATGTAAAATCAGAACAATTAGAGAGTAATGAATTCACTGGAACAGAGTCCTACAGACTCTCAGCTCTGCCCTCGCACCAGCGCCTCCCAGCCCTCCTTCCCAAGCAACAAGGCAAGAGATTGCAGACTCTCAAAAACCAGCTATGGCTTTAACTGCGCCTCCACCCTAACCTTTGAGAAATGAATCCTTATCTGAGTGTGTAAAGTGAGTGCTTATTCTCTCTGAGTACGACGGTATCATAGCAAAAGAACAGCGTTTAGTGGTCTTTCTTCTCTTCCACGGAGTTTGCCGTCCGGCTTCCTGATTGCGCTTCAAACGTTCCACAGCATTCCGCGTGCCTTTTTGTTTAAACCCCTAAATATTGCGTTGAGTCACCAAACGACTCTACAAAGTATTTCTCATTCTTGGTTGTACAAGCAGGGTACAAGAGGAGAATGGAAAGGAACAATTCCGAGTTGCTGCTGGATACCCTCCTCCTAGTCTCATATCCTCACGTGGCCCCTAGGAGGTGCTGGTGAAATGCGGATAGATTTTCTTTTTGCGTCTCTTTTCCTGGCACTTAAGAGGGTGTGGAACAGGTCATGCAAACCCCGCGACTGTTTTTTTTTTGTTGTTGTTTTTTTTTTTTTTGAGGGCCAAATACTGTTTCGTTAGTTGGGACTGCCTTTACATCAAGTCGGTTACGGAGGTTTGCCTTTTAAAACTTTGTATACCAGGATATTGTCTCCCACAAGGGAGCTAGGTCTCCTTTATCATATAGTAAGCCATGTATTATTTACAAATAGCTTGGATTAAATCTGCAACGAAGATGACTATAATAGAACCCAGTTTGTAGCCCAAATCAAGAGACCGGGAATAAAGTAACTCTACATTAGCCAAGGCAGAGAGAGAGAGAGAGAGTTATCAGCTCACTTACATTTTTTCTCTTTCTTTCTTTCTTCTGCGTTGTGACTAATTGCATAAGTATATGCTGAAGAATTTTCCAAACTGTATGAACACCCCCATCCCCGGCTCCCACAGGTAAGACTCTCTGTTTAAAATAACTCCACTACCCAGAAAAGGCAAGTATTTTCTAGAATCTTGGTTTGCAGTTGCTTTCTTTTAATATTCTACGCAGTAAAATGAATAAATCCCAGGCCAAGACAGCTCCATGGGACAGGAAAATCATTAAAGAAATGAGCCCAATATTCTATACTTTTGTTTGTATTGTATTTTTAGCTGTAGAGGTATATAAAAGACAGGCCCTGGGCTTTCTATCAACCACCGATTTTATTCTCACTCCTCTCCCAAGAGACTGGATGAATAACAGGCCACAGGGCAGGTATCTTAGAGGAGAAAGTTCAGGAAAATTGGATTTTTCCGAGCAATTTCCCAGTCTTAGTAAAACCTTCCCCCTCATTGTTTAGTTAAACAAACATGAAAGATTTAATTTTGACTAAAGCGTTTTCAGTATATGATAGGTAGACTTACATATCTCCCTTGCATTTAAAAAAAGAGCATAACTGTGCATTTTAATTAATAAATACCTTTTAACTTTGTCTCTATTAGGAAAACTCTAGGCTGCCAAAGCATTGACTTTGATAAATATGCTCTTTTTTTGTTTTTTTTTTTTTTGGAGCAGTGAGTGGTACAGATTTTTCTAGTCAGTATACCTCTTTTTTTTTTTTTGACTGACTCAGGTCTTATTTAGCACACACACACGCACACACACTTCCCATTAGTTTTGAGTACTGTGGCAGTTAGGTGTTGGGGTCCATCTGTGGGTTACTTTTTCCAGGAAATGACACTTATGCTCTCACTGGCTCCCTCCACAGCAACCCCCTAAAATATCAGAGCCAATGTTAGTCAGACTCGGGATGAGAGATTCGACTGTGCATGGCCACGTGACATGGAGAGTGACTGCCTCACTGGAAGCATAAATCTTTCCTTCACACATATCTTAAGAAACAGGAACACATGCACTATTAGACAAAGCCTCCTAAGGTGGTCCTTTAAACACTGAATGGCATCTTTATTGGAAAGCTGCTTTGCCTTTGAAAATTAATCAGTATTATTTACCATTCTCATTGTACTTAAATCTTCATTTTGATCTTGATTGACAGACTTTTAAAATAACAAATAACTACTCAGCACAAAGTCAAAGAAGCAATATTTTCCCCCAGGTGTTTACATTTCCTTTTCTTTTTTCTTTCTTTTTCTTTTTTCTTTTTCTTTAGACAACAAACAAGTAAAACAGTTAAATGACCCAATGCTAAAAAGAAAAACAAGACACAAAACACATCATTATATATATTGGTATTGAGGATATTAAAAACATACCAAAAGACAACCTTGCTGCCTGATTGTGTTCATGTCTGCATGTACCCGTGATGTCCACCTCTCTCTATGTTGAAGAAATCACAAGTGTACTTGTCAACTTTTGAATACTGCATCCTCACTGCTTGTCTCTATGTCCTCGGAGCCATTTAAAGAATGAAAGGACTCCATAAACATTGTTTTGCACCAAAATGGAGATGCTCTGGGGAGGGAAGAGACAGATCTGGCATAGCTGGGAGAACAACATCTTGCATCATAGCTTCTCTGAGGAAGTTTGAATTTTGGAAATTATTTCCTCTGAATTATTACACCTAGACCTCTGTTTACTAACACTCTGAAATTACCCCTCATATAACTTATTTTTCTCTGTTTTTGCTGCTAAAATATTTTCCATATGTTTGGGGTTTTTTGTTTGTTTGTTTGTTTGTTTGATATGGAGTTTCTCTGGAACTTTGAAGTCTGTCCTGGAACTAGTTCTTGTAGACCAGGCTGACCTGGATCTCACAGAGATCCCTCTGCCCGCCTCTGCCTCCTGAGTGCTGGGATTAAAGGATTGCATCACCACTGCCAGGCCCATATGTTTGTTTGTACCTACCCACAAGCAGATTTTCAAACTTCAATGTTACGTCATTTTACTTCTATATTCTGGTCTCTTTGCACTTAGGTAAGTGTGTAAGTTACTCTCCACGAAAGTCAGTTTCATGGTGAAATGAATAGAAGAAATAGAAATTCTTTATTTTTTTTTTAAAAAATGGCTTGCATAGTGACTCAGTGTTATAGTTTGCATATGAGATGTCCTCCGCAGCTCATTTGTAGATATGGTCTTTAGCTAGCAGTAATGGAGACTTTAGAAGGTGGGACCTCACCGTCTTTGGTCTCTGCACCTCTCTGTTTCTTTCCGTTGTGAGATGAGCAGCCTATGGCACATGCTCTTGTTGCCATGATGCCCCCACCTCACCTTGGATCCAGAATCACTATAAGCAAGCACTATGAGACTACGAGCAAAATTTATGTCAAATACGTTGCTGCAAAGGCAAACAGCCATGCTAGTATATTCAGTATGCTTATATAATAACTATTTTCGGCTATTTAATTTTTACCTGCAACACGTCAGGCCTATCGGAACACAGTACAATCATTTCCTTACAGCAAATGACTGGACTCACTGGGTGTATGACTTTTTGCTTAACCTTCTTTCTCCATCAGAGAAAACCTTCGCTTTACAATTTTTCTTGTGTTAGCGTGCTGTGAATATCTCAGGCAGGAACCACGCTGTGTTGAGTTACTTGATTCTAATCTCTGCTAGGCTGAGATGTTATATAACCAAGACTGTTAAAAAATATATGGTGACTAGAAAGAAATATAATCTAACAAATCTAAAGATGTATTTTTTTCTTTTAGATAGTCTGAGAAGAATTTCAAGTTACCTTATCTTGGTCAGTTTTCTGGATCTATTTAAGGCATACATTTTAGCTTTGCACACAATTAAATGCCGCAGTATTTGTTACATTGTGAACAGTGAATAGTCCAGGAAGAGCTCTGAGAAAGGGGGTGTCTGTGTGTTTGTAACTATTTGTGTGTTAATAGGTGTACGCGTAGCACAACCGTACTTATTCACTCAGCAAACGCCTTTGCTGACTGTGATGACGTATTATTAAAAGTCTTCACTTCCCGCCCGATCTGTTAACACCAATAACAAATGGGTCTGTTCTTTAAGCAGCCTCCACTTCCAAGGCAGGTAGGTTATTATTTAGTATATCAGCTCTTTTATAATGTTCTGAGAGCCCATGTTCACCTCAGGTGTGAGATAATTACACTCTGAAAATATCAAGTTCATCACAGGCCGGGTCTTAATTTACTGTTTTGAACCCAGTGATTACAAGGACCATTTTGTTTTTATTATCCATGCAGTGATAGTTCTTGCAAAGGTAGTGAGGCCTGCAGTCTTCCTTTTTCAGCTCTCACCACGAATGGCAGCTTCTTAGACTGGGTCATTCTGCCATCAGCACAGGTCACTGACTGCGGAGAATCCAGCTGAGAAAAAAAAAAAAAAAACGCTAATTATTTGATTCATCACTACTGCCACTGGGGACAGGCAAGCCTTACTGCTCGAGGCTCAGTGCCATGCTTTGATAAGAGCGATGAAAGTTTAGTAAGAAGATCAGTAGGGAGCCAGCATGGATGGAGAACTTGCCAAGCGGCCAACGCTGCTGTTGTACTTCATAATGTGTGATGCCCAGTGGCTCAGTATCAAATGGACATAAACTCAAGGAGATCATAAAAATAGGAAAGGGGGGGAAGAAAGGGTGATGCTCTTAGAGAAAACTGGTTTTAAAGAGACACAAATGCCTTTGGCGGACTCCAGAAGGTGCACACCTATAAAAGATGCACTTACTTCTAGAACCATGGGTCCTCCCTAATACAGTACAGAGTAAACTCTATTACAATTAGTAACTAAATCCAAAGTCTAAAACACTTGCAGTGATATCTCTTTGCTTTCAAAATAACTCACTGGAGCATCCTAAGTCTCACCCAACTTAACTTTTACTAGCATCAAAGAAATAGACAGCCAAGGCTCACAAGTTTATGCAAAATAAAAAGTGTGAAATATATATGAACCAATCAAATACACTGTAATGATACTTTGAAAAGAAAAGCTGTATTCTTGAGATCTTTGGTTTTAGGATTCTGTCTTGGACACTCCTCAATTTTTAAAAAATACAGTGCATGCTCCCTGCAAAACATTAAATGATTTTAAAACCACTTGGAAATGAAAAGATGTGGAGCTGGAGAGATGACTCAGCTGTTAAGCACACTCTCTCCTCCTCCAGAGGACCTGGGTTCCACTCCCACAGCCACCCAGTGGCTCACAGCCCTCTGTAACTCTAGTTCCAAGGTATGGTGTGCCTCTTCCGGCCTGTGAACTCACTGTGCTCATGTGGTGCATGGACACATGTGAAGGCAAAAGCTCATACACAGAAAATATGAAAAAAGATTAAAAATAAAATATAGATTTATGTTGAAAAATAAAAAAATGAATGAAAGAAGCTCTTTTCTCCTTTATTGAGGTAAATAAACTTTAGCTGTATAGGATTTTTCTGCCTTCCCCTCCTTTTCTGCATCATTTTCATCATTAAGTTAACTAAATTTAAGAACACATGGGTTCTTTTTTAAATCATGATTAATACTTTAAGAATCTGCGATGCAATTAAAATCACTGAAAGACAAACTTAATGACCTTTGTGCTCATGATACCTAGGAATATAGTCATCTCTGAGTCTTCTATGTTTACATTCATATTTGGATTTTCCCTTTGAAAGAATGCTTTAATTATCTGTGAAAATTAGTGTTTATCTTCAGCTTTTCCATTTTCTTTGAATAGATTTCTAGCTGTGGAATGACCAGGTCAAAGACTTCCAAACCACCTTCCTTTCAATTCTCATTAAATTGTTGAATTTTAAGTTCTAAACTTTGGATTTTGAAAATATGTATACTTAAGGAGAAATGTTTTGAGAAGTGGGTCACAATCCTGCCCCGGTATGACTTTGAAACTTGAGTCTGCCACTTAGTACCTATGAAAAAATGTCACTAGTATTGGAAATCACATATTTGAAATTCATGAGACATATTGATTTTCTAAACTATGGTAATTATTTACACTATAGCTCTATCTAATGATACGGAAAACTCCATAGTCAATGGATGTAATTTTGGAAGACTAAGTCATGTGTCTAACAATCTTTTAAATAACCTATAAATCTTTTGCAGTGTCCAACTAAACGCTACAGTGGTAAATGAAATGAAAGCACCCGAGGAAATTGGGAATGTGTCCTGGGCAAGGCTGAAGGTGCAGGCCAGCAGGAAACCAAAGGAGGAAATCAAATGCACTTTCCGGTTGACGGTCCGCATTTGAAAATTTTCATGATGGCTAGGAAGTCAACCCAGTAGGGAGGTGCTTGTTGTGCAAGCACTAGGAAGTATGTTCAGATCCTTGGTGATCATGTAAAAAGCTGAATAGGGCGTGGTAACACATGCATAAAATCTCCGCTCTGGCGTTGCAGAGACATGAAAATCACTGGGATTGCTGTTTAGCCAGTCTGCTCAATGGGTGAGCTCCAGGTTCAGTAACAGAACTGTCTCAAATCAAAGCAAGATAAAGAAATGATGAGGAAGAACAATGGACGTTGACCTCTGACATGCACACACACACACACACACACTCATGAATTTTTTTTTTAAAGAAGTACTCACAGAAACATAAAATCTGGGTAGATTGTTAGTTGTAAAGAACAACCAATCAGCAGTTAATTCTTCACAGAGCACAAACTCTACAAATCCCTCACAAGAATAAGGATGGGTGACGAGGACTGGGACATTAATCAGACTGGCGTTTCTTCATCCATGGCCCCTGGCTATATCCATACCATCTTATCTTCCTTTTTGTGTGTCTTGTTTTAGTTGTTGTCATTGTTTTTTGCTCACTGTAATTCTCCAAATCCCTATTTTAAGTTTAGAAAAATATAGAGACATTAAAATTTTATTCTGGTAACCCTGCTCTCAAGTTTGCAGTCTGATGACACAAATTCTAAGCCAAATCTGCCAGATCTAACATCCCCCATCCCCTGCACTTCACTGTGCAAAATATAACTCTCATGGTTTCCCTAAAAGCGTTATTCAGCAAACAAAGAAGGACTTATATAGAGAGTCACTTATTTCTTCTCTCTAAATCATTTCCATGACTCTGAAATACATAAACTTTGACTTTTTGTTCTTTGTACAGTACCCAGCTCTAATTGTTTGGCTCAGATTTCGTGCTTCCTATTTTTAAAATGAATCTGATCAGTATCTGTGGGTTTTCTCTAGCACTGACCAGTTTTCATTCCCTAAGCTCACATTCTCCCTCCCAGAGTCAAAGTAATTCTTTATAGCTTACAAATCATTAAAACTGGCATTGAAACCGTGAAAAAAAAAATCAGAGAGGCATACTCAATTATCACCAGCAACAGTGACAGTAACAATGTAGCTGTAAAGTATGAAATCATTTTTAAAAATTCAAATATCATTGTTCATTTCGCAAGTGTTTTGGTATTTTTATGGACCTGTGAAGATCAGATCCGGGTTTTCTTCCCTTGTACTGAGGCTTGAGCTGCACTCTTTTCGTTTTAAGTATCCACAACCTTGAAATGAGTTCCACACATATGAAAACGTTTTTGAGGTTAGCAATGGGCTCTAAATCCCTTCCGGACTTATATTCTATCACCAGGGCCTCAGCTTCTGATCATCTTTATCAGTAAGGATCTCATTTTAAAGCTTTCATTTAGACAGCAGTCTATTCTTTTGTGTGCTTTGCCTAACTGAGTCACCAAGTTTTAGTAAAGCAGGAACTGGAACCGTAGACAATGCCTTTTCTGCAGCCTGGTGGCCGTTTCCCAGCCACCATTCCCTGCTGAAACCATGCAGTCACACGGTGGCTTTTAAGGCACCTTGGTCAGTAGGACTCTGGAGAACTAGCTTTCACATTTGTTGCGATTAAATGTTGTTTATGTGTTAACACATGCAATGCTTCCAAATAGCTCCTTTAAAAATGATGAATTTCCCACTTGGGAAAATGTCAAACCCCAAATCTCTTGCTCTTCCTGTGCATTATTTTACATATAAACATTATACATTAAGGAAAGAGGAAAGGCTATACCGAATGTGTTAGTTGAGAGAGAGAGAGAGAGAGAGAGAGAGATCCAGACTTATACAAACCCTATAAAGAAAGGAGAGGGCCAGGCTTTGGTTTGCAATGATATGTTTTGGCAGAAAAAAATCAGTGGTCATTTCAAAGATTCTCTAATTGAGAAACACCCTACTGTGAATCTGATTTCATGATGCTTTAAGTCCAGTTACATTTCACAATTTGCATCTTTAAAAGTCGCCTACTAACCCACTGCACCCACTGCACACACAATTTTTTTTCTACATTGGAAGTGAGAAAAATCCTAAATAGATACTGACACCTCCCTCAGAAAGTTTTGGAAGGCTGGCTCACCAACAAAGATCTGAAGCTAAATGGTTTCAACCTTCCAGTAACAATACAAGCTAAGGACAGAGTTAAGCAGCAGAGAACAGAATAGCAATCTTCTTTATATTTCTTTCTAGGATCAATCAGAACATCTGCCTGGTCACAGTGTTGGTTAGCATGGTGGGCTTGATCTTAGTCACCAATGCTGTATCCATAGTTGCAAAATTCAGGCAACAGGATAGAGATTTATAAAAGTTTCCTTAATCCTGGGCTCAGAATAAATCTCTGTTCCTCCCAGAGTGATGTACGCACAGAAATTAGCTCAGCAGTTGCAATGATCTACCTTCTGTCTTTGTATGTTCGTTGCTCCTCTTTCCTTGTATGTGTGTTGCTCCATCTCATTGATTTCTCCTCTCCATGGCCCCTACATTATTTCAAGATCTACCCCAAGACAATTAAAACTCAAATGTAACAGTGTTCCAGGTAAGTTTCCTTATGTACAGCTGTTACTATATTTTTGCATTCGGTTCATCTCTTTAAATGGAGCTCAAGATTTGCATGATTCTAGCTTCATCCAAAAAGCATCACATGTCAAAGGAACATGCCAGAAAAGCACCAGGCACATCTGACAAAGTAAGCCTAGCCAGACTCACAGGATGAAACAATTCAGTCTGGGAGGAAAATAGATCAGTTTAGGAATATTTCATCATAATGGGAAAGCAATTCTTGATGAGTTAACTTGTTGATAAGAATGGGGAAAAGGAGGGAAGAGGAGGAGGTATGAGGAGGATAGGAGGAGGAGGAAGGGGAGGAGGAAGATGGGGATGAGTATGATAGAATGAGGGGTAAAAATAAGGGAAGAAAAAGGAAGAAGAGGATTAAGACTAGCAGGATAGAGAAAAGAAAAACTTCTAGGAATGGACATATGATCCTTCTTTTTCTTGCACCTGAACCTCCTTCTAGTTCCTATTTCTAGTAGTTATTACCTGGAGGTCTCTCATGCACAAGACTTTATCCATGATGCTATTGAGGACCCCTTCAAGAGCCCTTTTTCTCACAAGAGAGCTTAAGAGAGTCCATGAATCCATGTTTGCTGAGAGTTTCATAATTTCCTTTCTGAAATACCAAGGTATTTATTTCGCTTACGTAATTTCCAGGGAACCAGTTGCATGAGCTGACTTCTATTCTGCTGGGCTACTGAGAGGCCTTACCGTCAGTCACCCTCGGTGAGAACAGACCCAAGGGCTGATACATGACTTCAGAGGACCTTAACAATTCCTGGAAGGAAAAGGGTTAAGAGCCAGTAAAAACAGCATAAATTTACACATGACCTAGTGTGAATACACTTTAATTCTCCTCCTTGCAAGGGACAACAACAATGACAGCCCCATAACTAATGCCTCTTGTATCAAAAACCTTGTCCCTGCAGGACACGTTTTCAGCCTGTGCAGATGATGTCAGCAATGCTCCAGTTGAGACAGATCTGCTACTGAGTTTTCTTTCAGAGGAACCTAAAAGGGCTATTACATCATGGAAAAAAAATAGCCTCAAGAGCTGAGTTGCAAGGAGCAGCATTCTGTGGCTTGAGTCTGGCTGACAAGTAAGTATTTTGTCTCAATCTCAATTTGAAGGCTTGGATTAGGAGTCATACATGCAAGCTACTGAACGTTTTTTGTTAAAGCAAAGGGAAAACCTATCTTAGACAGTTTTCTACTGCTGAGATAACCACCAGGATCAAATTCAACTTGGGGAGGAAAGTGTTTATTTAATCTTATACTTTCCAGTACATCTTCCATGGAAATCAGAGCAGGAACTCGAACAAGAAGGCAGCTGGAGACAGGAACTGAAACAGAATCCAGGGAGGAATGTTCCTGCTGGGTTACTCATCCTGTTTTCTTACACATCTAGGACCACCTACTCAGGGGTGGTACTACCCACAATGGGCTGGGCCTCCACGATGGATCGATGGATCGCTAATTAAGAAAATTTACTACAGACTTGCCTACAGGACAATCTTAAGGAGGCATTTTCTTTCTCAGTTGAGAGACCTTCTTCCCAAATGACTCTAACTTGTATCAGTTGACATAAAACTAACCAGGACAATGGCCCTGATATTATACTCTTTCATCAAACCAAATACTCTGCTACATTTTCTACAATATGCAGGATGAGTATTGCCTAAACAAGTGATAAGTAGTTGGGGGCAAATAGAGAAACTGTGTCTGTCAAATGAAGCAAAAAGTAAGCAAAGTCAATGCTTAAGTCTGCTACCCTAGCCATGCAGGAGAAGCTTTCCCAGATGATGAAGCTGGCTGCAAATGAGCTCTCATTAGGAGGTTGCCAGGAGTGTGGGCAGGGACAGGCTGCAGCTTTTCTCCTCCTACTTCTCAGAACCCATCTTCACAGAGCAGTACATTTTTCTAAATGTGTTTTATCTTCTATTCTTCTCCAGAATGTTTTCATCCATTGTCACATCAGGGTGAACTCGACCCTCGCCTTTGGTCTTGGGTCCATCAGAGGAGCCAAGAATTTGAATGTGGAGCCCACAGATGGTAGGGAGTCACAGGAGTGCTGCAGTAATATCCTATCAGTGGCTGCTTGTGGTCTTCTGCCCTTTTCCCTTTTTATCTACATGCAAACTCTCCCAAGACTACTTCCAAGGTTCAAGTTTCTAGAACAGTGGCTATTCAGAAGAGCTGTGTTTTTGAATGTTTGATGACTGCCGATTATATAAGAGATGTTAATGTAGGACTGAATTAAAATAGAAGTAGTAGCCAAGACAGAAAAATCATAATGAAAGGTGGAGCAAGAGGATCATTGGGAGAACTTTTAAAGTCCACTAGTATGTTCTTTTCTTTGTTTATGACAAAAAATACAAGAGTGAGCACTGTGGATGGGCTAAGTATATCTTTGCTAAGAAGAAGAACCAGAGCAGAGATCTGTGACTTACAAAAATGCAAATGTAAAAAAGAAATGTGACTTAATGGTTCCATTACTGGACTTATAACAAGTGAAATTCCAGGCCTTTTAGGGAAAACTTGAAATCCAGGATCTTACTCAGTGGACTCTAAGACTTGTCTTCACATGTGTACATACACGCAAAGCTAAATGGATTCAGTAAGTTATATGTACATATGTATGCGCATGTAGCAATAACAGTTAAATGAGAATTAAGATTTTGAGAGGCAGGGAAACGACAGGAGTTGGGGAGGGAGGAGTGGCAGGAATGCTGTAGATTCAATGCTCACGTGAGAAGTTCTCAAAGAAGCAAAATCATTAAACAAACAAACAGAAAGAATGCAAAGAGGCGATTTGGAGAAAATGGATAGAACTGGAGATTATAATATGAAGCAAATAAGGGAAGACTCAGAAAGACAAATATCACATTGCTTGCATTTATAGATATATAAAACCATATGCTGTGAAAGTAGAAAGAATAAAGAGGACCAACAGGAAGGGGGTAGAGAGGAGAATAAGGGACATTATAGGTTGAAGAGAAATTTCCCACATAGGTTCACGTATTGAAATACTTTGTCCCCCCCCATTGGGTGCTGTAAGGAGGCCACAAGTTAGTTCCTGATTGCTCAGCCCCAAAATAATCACACAGAAACTACATTATTTAAAAGATTTCTTGGCCATTAGCTCTAACTTTTTATTGACTAACTCTTACATCTTAATTTAACTCATTGCCATTAATCTGTGTATCGTCATGCAGTAGTGGCTTACTGGGTAAAGTTCCCAGTGTCTGTCTCTGGTGGCAGCTCCATGGCTTCTCTCTAACTCTGCCTTTCTTTCTCCCAGCATTCAGTTTAGGTTTTCCCACCTAGCTAAGTTCTGCCCTGCTATAGGTCCAAAGCAGTTTCTTTATTCATTAATAGTAATCACAGCATACAAAGGGGACTCCCACATCAGTTGGGTGGCACTGTTTAGAGAGAATTACGGAACCTTTAGAAGGTACGGTTGTGTTGTAAGCAGAATATTACTAAGGTGGGCTTTGATACAACCTCACTCCACTACTCTACCTCTGGAACTGTAAGACAAAATAGACTCTCCTGTGAGTTGCTTTTGACCATGTTATTTTTCTCAGGGCAACATAAAAGTAATCAATTCGAGGGGTATGGGTGAAAATATAGTCTATAGTCAAAGGATATTGCATAATTGTATTAAACTTTGTGAAAGTTAATATTCTATATAATGAACAAACAATCAGTATCAAATGCATAGGGCTTTTCCAAACTCTCATTAACATATTTTTTGAGAGGAAATTGAGTTGAAGATGCATTCTATTAGTAACTCTCCTGAACTAGTTTTGCTTATCACAGACGAATACTGATATATGTAAAAACTCTTCAGAAAAAATATTGATTTAGATCAGACCATGTACCCCAAACTGATCTTTAAAAAAGGAAAAAGGTTTTCAAGAAATATTAGATAGCCTGATTAGTCTGCTTGCACAGAGAATAATTAGTCAAACAAATCATGCAGCATGTAAAATTTACAACTGCTTTTAGGAGAAACACAAACAAGAGGATAAAAATAAAATGGACTTTTAAAATACAATGAATTATGAAAATCCATGAGACAATTTTGATGGAATATTCATCACAGTAGAAATTAACACTCACCCAATAATGTTGATGGAATCTTGAGTTTCAAAAAATACTCCAATAAAATCAAAAGAGGGCCTGTAGAGATGGATAAATGGGTAAAATACTTTGTAAGAAAGCCTGAGACCCTATGATTAGACAAATAGAACCCAGATAAAAGCTCAGTATGGGGCAACCTCATATCCAATCAATTCAAAGATATTGTTGGTCATTCAGTCAATCTTTTCAACACACATGTAGAAACCTGGGGTAAAGCAAATATTGGATATGGCTGACAGTAATTAACAATCAATGATACAATGAGCTTGACACTTTCGAGAATGATCCACTGTGAATATTTATCAATAAGCTTAAGAACAATTGTCTGTAGGGCTCTATCATTTTCATGTAATGACTCATATTAAGATGTTCTAAATAAACAAAACAAATAGAATGAATATATATATATATATACATATATATATATATATATATATAGTACATAGGGATTTACTAAATTAGATTAACTGATAACAGGCTTCATAGTCTAATCAAGGGTACCTGCACTCCAGAAGGGCTGAGAACTCAGTAGCTGTTCAGACCATGACGCTGGATGTTTCAGAAGTCCCAATCTGGTGCTGAAGACTTCCAGCATTGTTGGAGAGCTTCTGGTCTTCAGTCCTCATTGGAAAGCCCAAGAAGGTGGGTTGTGATATCACTGTAAGATGGCAGCAGCAGTAGCTGCAGCAATAGCATGGTCACACTCAAAAGTAACACTGTTTTCTCTCTGCTCTCTTTATGTCTGGAGTATATCTTTAATGGTCTTCTACTCTGAGAAAGGGTCTTCCTCCTTCAGTTTATACTATCCAGAAATGCCCTACAGATCCTCCAAGAGGTATGTCTCTTAGTTGATCTGAGATATAATCAATTTGACTACTTTCCTATTCTGTTTTCTATTCCTATGATTAACACTGACCGAAACCAACCAGGACAGGAAAAGGTTTATTGGGCATATAGGTTTCAATCCCTCATGGATGGAATTCAAAGCAGGAACTGACATAGAGACCACAGAGGAATGTTGCTTATTGTTGTTCTTTCTCTGTGTTGTTGAGCTACCTTTTCTTATTCAGCCCTGGACAACCTGCCTAGGGATGGTGCACCCAAAGTGGACTAGGCTGAGCTATATCAATCATCAGTCACAAAAATGCCTTCTCAGACAAGCACACAGGTCCTACTGATAGAAGTAATTCCTCAATTAGGATTCCCTCTTCCCAAATATGTCTAGGTTTGTGTCAAGTTAACAAAAATTATGAAAACAATCAATGTTAGCTGTCAAAGGATTTCACAAATTCAATGATATGTCATAGCTACCTCATAGCAACTTTGTTGCAAACCAAATATTGAATTGTGATAAGGGAAGCACATCAAGAGCATTCTAGTTTTTGTTTACATCATAACAAATGATAGTCACAAATGGAACTATATTCATCAGTCACATAGCTGCAGTGCATACCTATATATATATATATATATATATATATATATATATATATATA